CCCCGGCGCCTCTCAGAATTTCGCCTCCCGCCGTTTCTTGGCTTCAATGGCATCAAGGATTGGCTGCCGCTTTGACTGATACTTCTGGCGGATTTCTTCAATCTCCTGCTCCATCATGGGATCAAGTGCTGAGAGCCTCCTCTGAAGTTCATCCACGCTCCAGGTTTTTAGCTAGCAGGGAGATGAAAGAAGAACAGACGTTGGCATCAGTACAGAAACCATCCACAGATCAGCGGGGATTGTGCCGTCCGTTAGCACAGAGGAAGCTGACGGTCACAACGCATTTTCCAGTAGGAAAAGGTGGGTCAGTTCCGCTCCAGGCTGCTGGACTCCTCTCCATGGGACTCACAGATTTCAGGATACTGGACCGCTTTTGCTCATTTTACAGATATACCACACACACTGTTTAGTTAGAGTGAGTGCGCATAACAACCAGTGAAACGTTTCCTGCACTGAGTTGGTTTGGTTTTCTAACACTTCATCTTGCAGGTTTATAACCGAAATACTGTATTGCAATGGAACAGAAACAAAGTGCTCTTCCCCCTCTCCTTTTCTTACAACTAAAATTCCTTCTGCTAAGTGACAAAAGGAGACAGAAGAGAACAGGAAGAGAAAATAACCACTGAGAAAAGTTGAATTTGGGAGGAAAAAAAAAAAAAAAAAAGCATTCATATACAATCAGGCTGAACCTCAACCACGGTGAGGAACTCACAGACTTCTCAGCTAAGTTAGAAATCCCAAGAACACACACAGCAGGTCGTCCTGCGCACGCCTCATACTGATATAATTTGCAGATACAATTTGTGTTTCACTGTACACATGAAGATGTCAGGCTGGTCGGGACAAGCTTTCCTCCACTGAATCCGCTCTCTGCCTGCCCTCCGTTTAATTGGTTCTCCCGAGCTTGCCAGTTTGCTGAGGACTGGCACGGAAGAGCTTTACCCTGTTAATGAGATGTGCCGATTTTGGCCGGTGACAGTCTGGATTGTCCATAGCTATGCCCTTTACATAGCATTATAACCTGTGGAACAGACAGGATTTTAGGATGATGCTGAAGAACAGGGAAGCTAGAAGTGCTTCAAATGTTCACCTCGCACCAGCCCCTTTCCTCTCTCTGACCAGCAGACTCCCACAAAGCACACTGGAAATACTGTTTTACAGATGCTTTAGCTAAATGGGAATGACTGTTTGCACCACCTGCTTTCAGTAACCACCTGCTGTGGAAAACAAGAACAGGCAAAATATTTGTGTGTGTGCATGTGTGTGCAAAGGAGCGTTAATTTCTAGAGCTTCAGTAAATGTCCTAAATGCCCTTATCTCTACTTCAGTTCAATTCAAGCGACACTGCCGCCCTGACTTAATTGTTAATGAGTCAGCAATCACTGCTATTTCTTGAGCCATTTTCCAGCCAAAACACATACAGTGAAATGCTTGTTTCCTATTACAAGAGAATAACTGGGTGTCTTAACGGCAACTGTACGGTTTGTGTCAGTCCTTAAAACATTCAAAAATATTAGAGAAAACGCTGATCTTTCTTCCTGAGGTGGCAGAGATTGGTTGCCAAACCACAAAGCCCTCTCTGGGTTGATTCATCACAAGGTCTTTAGCACACTCTGCAAAATAAGGTCTTTCCTAGTCGTAAATACAGGATCACGAATCTACTCCTATAATCTAGGCATAAGCAAAACAAAACCTTTTAGCAAGGGTATACATCTTTCTGCCTCTCTAATCAGCCAACTGTTCATTTGAAAGACAAAGCACTTTCTCCACAAAAATATACATTATTTATACACACTAATGCAACTTTAGCAGACAGCAGTTTAAGCAGATGCATGGCACTCGTTGCCTTTTCACACTAGTTTATTATGGAGCAGGTAATTATTCAACACTCCACTTCCTCAGGGTCAAGGGAATAGAGCAGTCAAAAATGCAAAAAAAGAGGAAAATATGAATTCAAGTACTGAGCACATATATTAAATGGCTGTATCAGATCAAATCTTTAAGTGGCTGTCAGCTCCACACAAAATACATAGCGTTAGACTACTAAAAAAAGCTTTAGAACAGATCTAAAACATCCTGCTCATGGCTTAAGCCAGCTATCAGGAGTCAGAAATTGTCTTGGGGCTGCAGTCTTCCGCAGATGCCTTTTGAGGGCTGCCTGCCATCCTGCTCAGCTTGGTGATGGCTACAGCTGGAAACAAATTGCCAGTCCGTGGACTGGAGGGTAGACCAGATTTAAAATGATGGTCTCTACAGAACCAGAAGAACGTGGTGAATTTCAGGCAATCTCAAGTCTTTTGATGCCACAGGCCCAAGACATGGGCAAAGATCCTCCTTCTTAAACCACTCTTTTCTGGCACAAAAAGGAGGTCAGCCCAGGACTGGCACCACCCCTAGGAACCAAAAAGACGCAGAGCTCTCACCGTTTTAAGCTCTTCTGACCAGTCTGCCAGGCAGGAGCACACACCGCTTTGCGACGGCCAGCAACCCAGGCACGGCTGTCCCGGCAAGGGCGCTCAGTGCAACCCAAGGAAGGAGATGTGGTATTGCCATGGCAAGAAAGCATTGCAAATGCAGACTAGAAGATGCATTAGTAAGGAGAAGCAGTAAGGAGAAAAACCTGCCCCCTTAGCATTCTTAAAAATGATAGTGTCATGGGACATGTTACATGAATACTGACCCGCAGGAAGCCTTTAGGCCAGCTGCCAGCACCGGCTTGCCGAAGGATGCATAGTTTCAACAATTCCTGGAATTCTGCAGGAAAGACAGCTATACCATAAGCAGTTCCATACTGTTAGCTAAGTCTGGAGTGGGCAAAAGCCTACAGGTACACAGTAATAAGAACAAATCTGGAAGTGGGCTACCTGGACATACATGATGCAGAACAAAACAGCTGCTTAAGGAGAAGACTCCTGGCGGGTTAAATGGAAAGGGGATGGTGGCAGAAGGGAGAGAGGGAAGCTGATGCAATGCAACAACTTAAGAGCGCAGAAACACATTTCTGTGCGTAACACTGTGTCGACAAGGATGATCTAATTACGAGTTTTCATCTGGAATACTGTCAGCGTGATTGTGAATGCTATGCTGTTCCTCGAAGAGGCAGAGGAGCCAAAGGGCAGCACCAGTAAAAGGTTCAGAACGTGACTGTTCACTGCGAATGAGCCGGCACGAGACTGACAGGAGTCCGAGCGCTGCTGAGTGAGAAGCAAGTGTCCAGAGAGATGCACGGGAAAAGGAAAGCAAGGATTTCAAGCCCTCCGTTCTCACTGTGCCTCAGCCCCGAGACTATACAAGCCCGGCAGGATGGGCTGTGCTATTACTCAGTTTGTCTTTCCACCCAACACACGTGGCTTTGAAGGAAAAACAAAAATAAAGAACCCGGCTTTAAAACCTAACAGCCTCCTTCCATTTTGCTGGGTGACGCTTCACTCTAAGCTAATAGCACAGATGGATTTTTCTCCTACAAATGAAGTTTTTAAACTCAAGCATATACGTCTGCGCAGTGTTATAGTCTCCTGAGATACTGACATTATTCTCTTAGAGAAATGCCAGAAGCAAAATAAGAAAAGAAGGACAAGGACAGAGGATCTCATGACAGACAGATACTGAGGGCAAAGTCTCAGAGCTGGAAAGCTGTAATTAGAGCTCGTTTCAGCCGTGGGGCTAATTCCCATCCCCTTCTCCACTTCTTAATGACTTTTCTGCTGATAGAAATCTAAGAGTCCTTATACAAAGTTATTTATTTCTGCCCATCCACAGTGACCAAACAGCTTTCAGAACCTTTCTAAGGAAAGGACCTCATTTCGAATGTAAAGACTGACAGAAAATACTTGTTCTAAGCCTGGCAAATAGGTCTATCCACAGGGAAAGGTGGCAGAGCAGTGAAAATGTTCAAGTAAGGTTACACATGCGGAAAACGAATTTTTAGCTATTTGATTAATAGGTACTTTTTTCCCCTCAAGATACTGAGAAAGTTTTTAACCCTGCGCAAATAACACCCAACTGCAGATGAGCTGATGAGAGGTGCAACTGTTCAGCAGAAAGCCTCTCACCCACATCTGTGCGTGTCTCTGCTCCTCAGGCCACAGACATCACCGTCAGCAAGAACTTGTTGTACTATGCTGATAACTTCTAGCACGTAATTCAAGAGGACATATATAATTACGTCCTTCTGAAGGACATAACCTACAGCCTTTCCATGCAGACACAGTAATGATGGACAAAGCAGGAACAGATCATTTGATATAAGATTTCTTCCCCCAAGGAGAAGACGCTCAGGCTATTCATGACATCCTTTTGCAAGCATCTCAGACGGACTTGTGGGCAACTACTCTTTTGTACAACGTCTGCCTCAGCAAACTGCTTCTCCGAGTTACTATCCTCTCAAATTAGCATTTTAAAAATAAGAAAAAATGCATTTGCATTTGTTACAGTCAGGTGAAGTGTTACTGCAACATGATATTCTACCGAATGTAAATGAAACTAAGCAGCTAAAAGAGAATAAATAAAGGCACTCAGCAAACATGTTAGACATAGCCACAGATTAGGTATCCAAGGGCACCATGATCTGCAATTTATACGTATGCAATTCTATCTTGAGCTAAAGCCAGTCCAATAACAGCTACAGTATTTCTAACAGACTATGCCAGGTTTATATTCCACACAGGGTCTACTGTAAAACACAAAGCCTAGAGAACTAGCTTAGTCCCTTCCCAGTGACTAAGAAAAACAGTGAAAATGTTTTGAGCCCCAAGCGGGATCAGTAACCACGGGCTGTACAGCAGCAGAGCACCTGGGCCCTGTTTTCCTACAGCAGGGCCCGCCCGTAGCTTGGTCTAGGTGGGAAGTTTTTTTCCGCCTCCTGAGGGACTCGAGAAGTCTCTCACTTCCAGCAGAAAGGAGAGTGCTGCTGCCAACACTGTTCATCGTGTACCTGTTAGAGACCTGGCTTATTGCATATGGCCCCTCAACAGCACAAGGTCACCTCTGATTTGCACCAGTCTGAACTAGCGACATAAACGCAGGATGCTCTGTGTCCTTCGGTAATACCCAAGTTACCTCAGCCATACCTCTTATTTGCTCCTGCTCAAAATACATTGCCAACAGAACCCTTCTGCTACAGGGATTAGAAGCATCATATAGAAACGAGCTGTTTCCCAGCAGCTTTCACG